AATGCAAGGCAATGCAATGCAATGCAATGCAATGCAATGCAATGCAATGCAATGCAATGCAATGCAATGCAATGCAATGCAATGCAATGCAATGCAATGCAATGCAATGCAATTCAATGCATGCATCAGCACGATTAGGACACGCACCAGTTTCCAAAGCAAGTTTCTTGCTGCGTGAAGTGCCTCAGCTGAGTCTAATCATGAAGCCTACCAAAAATGACCGCGCATCGTCTCATATTCACAAAGCTGCAGCCATGCAGCAGCTTGCCTCTTCTCTGTCGCATCCCCCTCGGCAAAGATTCGCTCGGTGTCTTCGATGTCGATGTACAACGATGCACGCCAGCACCTCATGCGGAGTGAAGTGAGGAAGTGGAAATATCATGGAGCGCACGCGTGGGCACACGCACACACCCAGGAAGAACTTTAGAACGGAATAGGAGCCGAAAGAGCGACTGAGGCACTTGTCGTGCTTTCCGCGCTCCCCGAAGCACGTAGGGAGCGCATGCTGTCCTACTTGTCCGTAACGCTTGTTCTTGGAGTTAAACATCTCCAGTGCCTCGGACGTTGGAACTGGTACGGATTGCTCTATACTCCAGGTTGTGGAAACTCAATCATACGACATCTAGCCGGCAGATTAGAAACACTAATATGAACAAAAACTGTGTACAAAAGTTACTGACGAATGACAAACTGGTAAAGACAAGCATAGCCGTTGGAATACAGCACTCATAAGCAGAACAAAGATGCGGAAGGAGGTAGACAGCAGGTAGGTCCTACAAATTATTCTACATAATGTGGCCGAGTGAACAATACAGAAAACTAGGGGCTGAGACCGCATTGGACTTCTCGTTCTTCTCTGTCAAACAGATGCTGGACCGAACCGTGCGATAAGATAAAATGCGCGCGACGACAACAAACTGCAGGTTGCAAACACGCTGCTGGATATCCAGCCCCTAAACAGTTACAAACAGCTACTTTCAGTTCCAATGACAGATCTTGCGTGTAAGCACTGGGAACCGGTTGCGATTACGCGAGACGGATGCGGACGAATCCAGACAACAAATTCAAAGCTCATTTGATTTGGAAAACGCAGAATTTCAGGAAAATCTGGTCGAAAACGGCAGTGGACAAATTCGGTGAACAATTGCGAGCACTCAATAACATCAGGAGCGAGTCGGGAAAAGAAGCGCACATCGAACGACAGCGAACGGGTGCCTCGGGTCTTCGTCCGAATCTAAATAACCAGGAGACGGGATGAATGGACCTGGTTGCAATTCTGGTTTGGAGTTTGCCAACTATCATCTCCTTGTATGGTTCGGGCTTGGCAACCAATACCCTTTTGTTGGGGTTCTGAGGCTTGCCAACCAACATCTCCGAGTATAATGTGTGAGGTTACGACATAGGGTCTCCAAACAAATATGGGTACATTCTTCTTTGGAAGTTCGGGGTTTGCTCATCAGCATCTCACTTCACGGTTTGGATTTGCCAACAACATCCTCCGTTTAGAATTTCGGGTTAGCCAACCATCGTTGTCCTTTTCGAGTCCATAGTTTGCCACCAACCCTAATTGCTTGTAAAACTGAATTGCCACGGGCCACTGGCAGGGGGCTACTTGTTTTCGGCCTCTGTTCAGGCAGCGAAAGGGAACCAATCCAAAAAGTGAGCAGTGGGTGCCAACCAAGGCCCCAAAGACTCAGGTATTGGTTGACAAACCGTAAACCGTAGCCTCACAGTAGTATACTCCCATAGTGGTTGCCAAATTGCGAAACCAGAATGCAAACCCCGAACCCTACACGGAGATGGTGGGTGACAAACCCCAAACCCGAAAAGAAGCATGACATGTTTGCCAAGACCTACACCTTACAAGTAAGATGAGATGTTGATTGGCAAGTCCCGAATACCGTTGGAGCTCTGCAGGGCTCAGCAACAAGGAACAACAACAACAACAACAACAACAACAGCAGCAGCAGCAGCAGCAGCAGCAGGGGTAGCAGCATGACTCGGCGTTGTTTGCCGAATCGGTCCTCGAGTTTTTCTCGAATCTGTTCTCGAAACGCAGCACGTGCTTCTGAATGGACCCGCTTGGCTTTCCGGGGCAACTTTTTTTCAGAACCCGCAACCTTGCTCTCAATCGCCGCTAACTCATGACGTATAATTTAACTCTTTCACCAACATCCGAAGTCCCAAGACTATAGCTTGTCGCTCCAACTCCGGTCGGCTGTTGCAGGCAAGCTGCCTGCCTCGCCGGTGCACCAGTCTTCTCTGCATGTTTGATGGCATCCGTAAGAGCCTGAAGAGCCTCTTCGTCTGACGACTTGCTGTGCGAACGGACATCGATGAGGGCACGGGACCCTTTACCTTACTCCAAGCCGTCTTGGACCCGGGATCCTGAAGATGACATCCAGACAGATTCAGGCCTTTGGGGCCAACACCATGCTGCCAGGGCTGCAGACTGACTACCACACTACACAACTCCTGTACAGCTGCGGGACGCGCACTTTCAGACACCGAGCACTGGAGCCTAACATAGTCTACAACAACAGCATCACAAAGGTCTCCACGTCCGACTGATGGTGCCACTGAGACTCGAGCACATGTACAAGATCCTGCACTCCTCCACCATCCTGTCCTTCTTGCCTGCCACCGGCACCACTGTCGCACCCTGCACAGTCCAGCACGACATCCGCCACCGATTCGCTTGCCGTGTCACACATGCAGCAAGACAGCGGCTCTGTGCATTTTGGGGGGGGACCTTGGTCGTACAAGGTATGAAAACAAATCATAAATCCTCCACGACTCCACGACCTCTTTACTATACTCCATACCCGGCCATACTCCCGACCATTACCCAAGACGACCTGACGAGAAATCCACCTAATCTTTTGGCGGCAAAGTTTGACAGAAGGCTTTGATCTGTTCCTGGTGGCTTCCGAATGAAACGGCGGCGTGCACCCCGAGACGAGCTTGACGAGCAAGCCATCTTCCACCAGCCACCCAGTATCCCCTGTCAACCCTACAACGCGAAGAAAAAAACCCAACTGCGAAACCACTCCGAAACCCAACAGAACAGACCTGCCGTACTTCGACTGCACTTCTGGGTGGCAGGCCAGGCTGCGACTCTCGACCCTGTAATAACTCTAATTAGCAGACCAGATCAAACTAGCGGATCAGGAAAGCCCGATAGGTGTCTTTAAAGACTCTAGACAATTCTAAGGGAACCTACTGCGATAAAGTTCAACCTCGTTCCGTACCAACTCCCAGGAAGGCAAGAAAGCTTTCCGCACGGGCCAGCTTGCAGCCTGCTCGCAGCTTCGCTGCTTGCACGCTGCAGCTGCAATGCCCTCTCCAACCGAAGTGTCCTGGCTAGACGTTCCAGTCTCCGGTCGCACAAAAACCACTGAAGGCCTCGCACAAAGGGAGTTTGGGATCAAGGTTGCCCAAGCGTCTTGCGTCTGGCAAGACGACTTCGACCTTCGAGCCGTCGGTTCCCAATAGGGCGGCGCGGTGGCACAAATCTGCGACCAGGTCTCCGATGGAGGCGTGGAGCGTCAGCGTCTTGCCGGACATCATCGACAAGAAGATCTCCATCGTGGATCCGTGTCTTTCGCAGTGCAGGGTGAATATCTGCCTTCGCTCAAAAGCAGCCGACCTCGACGAAAGTTGCTCTGACAGACGATCATGGATGTGCTCGAAGCCCCATTCGAGCACTTCAGAGGCTGTCACGGCCACACCTTTGTAGCGAAACATTCGACGATGTGGTTCTGCTGCCAGCCACGTGTGGAGGTCGTGGACATGGGCCGGATCTATTGGAAACTGCATTGACTGTGGCACCCATGCCCGCACACGCGGCCTGAGCATTCTGACACAGGGTACCCCACAGAATGTATGCGCACATCAAAACGTATCTAAGGGATTCGAAGGGTTTAGGGTTAGATGACGGAGTTCTGATGACGGGGTCGTGCTCGTAGGATTTTACCGGCCCGGTAAATCCACCAGCTCCCACAAGGGATCAAACCATACTAAACCTTTGCCGGAGTTGTGTAAACTTAATACCTTGCAGCCAGAATGCTGATTTCCGAAAGACCGCCGCCCTGGCTGCGGTCTCTACTTTCAGCAAACATAGAGTAGAGTGTCCTTGAAGGAGCTCCTGCTTCTTTTGCTGCCCTGTCATCGACCTGGCCTGCTCCTTCCTGGCATGCATGCTCATGCTGATGACCCGCAGTGATCTCTTCTGCTTTGAACTGCATTTCGCGTTTCGCTTTTGTGTGACTTTTGTGGTGGTTTGCATGCTCTTGCTTGCCCTTCGCTGCTTGAGCTGGCTGTACGGCGTGGTGAAGTTTGCCTTGGCCTCGACTGCCGCATCCAAGCAGACCTTTGAGATAAAGTTCACTGCATTTCAGGAGGACGCAGTGACGCATTTGTGTGTGGCTCTTGAGGGGGACCTCCTGTGGCTTGAGAACATTGGGAACCTACCACGAGGCTGGCCTCCGAGGGGCTGGATGCAACCAAGGTATTGGGTCCGCTCTCAACTGGAGGCACGCCACAAAGAAGACAAGGATGACCAGCCTATTGTGGCATGGAGCCTCCAAATGTACTAGTGCTGGTTTGTGCAAGGCGAGGCGACCGTGAAGGACAAGGCAAGGAAC